TAAAAAAAAGGTTGGCTTACTGTCCTAGTCAATTAGCTAAATTTGTTTAAACTCTTTCCAAAATGCAGAGAATAGCATACAATGTAATAATTATATGGCGTTTATACACATATAATCATCAGATTATTACTGCACCCTTTGTTCCAGTTCCTTAAGAAAAGGAAAGCACACTCACAGAGCTCCAACCTATTAAATGTATGGAAATATTTAATTGTGTTATTAATAACAGTGTTTAAACAATCACAGCATTCTATAGGCATGTATCACCTTTTCTTCAAGATTTTACAGTGACATCAAATGAAACTCAAAATAGTTTCCTTTGAAATACTTTCAGTGCTATAAAACATTATTTAATTCATTGAGATTAAAGCTTATTTTTAAGACTATCTAAAAGTCCAAGGACAAACTATATTTTAAAGTGTTTAAGAATTGGCTTTTCCCCCAAGAGCAGGTTTTAACCTCATACTGTTATGAATCAGTTTTAACTCATGTTCTATTTAATTATATAGCGTGCCATTTTATTTCTAATAAAGATCATATATCCATGTTGAAAGACATAGGCAAAAAGGGTTCATAGGCTCAGTTATGCTCATTTCAATACTTCTTGTATTTTACTTCAGATTTCATCTCCTAATCTCATTTCCCGTTCTGAGGATTCTCTCTGCCTTTTACCTGAGAAACAGTCCTCTCGTTATCTTCACACGCACCTTCACTTAACCTATTTACTTAGGTCAAACTTACCTGGAATAGCATGCCTGGACACTTTCGGCAATTTTACTTGTTCCAAACATGGTCCATTTAGTTCTTAGTTATGAGATCTCTCCAGCAAAACTTCTGAAAGCTTCAACTCCTAAATGCCCTGTTGCCGCAATATCTAAATTTCAACTCCAGAATGCCTCAGGTCTTCGCATGTTTAAACCTATCACTAAAAGTAGTGAAAGCCTTGTTCATTGAACACATAGAAGTAAAACAAGAGCTCCTTGCACTTCTCTTAATTAAAAATGCCTTGAAAGTTCCGTAGGCTGCAAAGGAAGAGTCACAAACTGGTAAATCTTCTTTGAGTTTCAGAAAGATTTCAGGACACTCACAGGCATGAATGCAGTGGTATTTTTTCCCACCACAGAAAGTAAACATTCACACCAAACCAGTACAACAGGTTGGAGCATACAGTACTACTACCTTTGGGCTGCAACAGATACCTTGTACACAGACACTAAGGCACCGTCCTGCCTAGATCGTTTACTTTGGTAGCCAAGTAGAGTAAAGTTGGTCTCTTAAAAGACTATTATGAAAAGCACTATATATACATGTGCCTATGGACTTTGGCTGGCTTCTCCTTGTAATGAAAGTTATCTAAATATTGCAAAAGCACATATAATTTCTATGTAGTTAAAAGAAAATCTAAGCCTGGACAAACCAGTTCTATATTACCCTAACCAAATATTAGGCAATGCTTTCATGGTCATAAATGCAAACACTGAAAGATGTCACTATAGGAAATACTTATAAGATTAATTTTCCCTTACAAAATTGGAAAGTAAGTGCCTCTAGGAAATAAAGGGCCAAATTCTTCTATAAAATAACAGGGTCTGAGAAGCTAAGGTGGAGACATGGGTTCTATCAACTATTTCTGGGAAACTAAGGATAATGTTAATTTAATAGGATCTTTGCTGCTCTACAAAGTATACACATTAGAGGCCTGGGATTTAGCTCAGTGGTGTTGCTGCCTGTCTCACAAGCACAAGAACTAGAGTTCGACTCCCAGTACTAAAATATCTATATCTATATCTATATAGATATAGATATAGATACACACACACACACACACACACACACACACACACACACACACACACACTAGACTTGAGGTTCTCTAAGTTCTTTTATAGCTCAAAAATGCTAATATTTTGCAGGCATTTCTCTTAGCCTGACAGTCAAATTCTCCAGTGATGGAGATCTTTCCTCCTGTTGATTGATATCATTGGGGCATGGTTTCCTAGAGATACAGAATGAAGAAAAATTGAGGTTGGAAGAAGAGCTATTAACAGAAATGCTAAAAAGGCAGCCACGCAAATTATGAAGTAGGCACGCAAATATGAAGTAGGTAATGTGCGCTGAATAGTACAGTGAAGATCCCAGTTAAATGGAGCTCCTATCACAATTTGGATCCATATTTTTGAGAATTCAAATGATAATTTTAATTTAAAAAACATCAAGGGTGAATTAGTATATCATATACTTTATAAGGAGATGAGTATCCTTGCTTATATTATATCTATTATATATTATATTATTTACACACCCATATAGGAGAAAAAGAGAACAGAAAAAAGTTCTCAGGGACTGAGCTCCTGAGGAAGAAGGAACTCAGGAGGTCTATACCCAGATGATGACACACTCTTCGCTTTTTAATATTCTGACTAGGACCTTTGCAACCTAATAAGAATACTGAAAAACAAACAAAACACATGTTCTTCCAGGCAGAAAAGAGGTAATGTTTTAATACAGCAAAAAACAGATCTGAAATCTTTATAGACCTACCAAGGATACATTTCAAGTCTGATAAGATCAGAGGAGAACAATATACTTCTTATTGAAAAATTTTCTCAGACTGCACAACGGAGAATACCTCAGGAAACAACCACTCTCCCAAGCGTTCCTCAAGTACAAAAGGGTTAGAGATCTATGCAATTTGTTCTCTAACTTACATGATGATACTGAAATTATCTGCTATCCTATTTGTTTTAAATTTTTTGCATGATTTTCTGATATGTACTGTTTATTAAACCTGAAATAAATTACATTTTATTCATACATATGAATGAAAGGGCAAGCCACCTCTATACTGTAAAGTACACATATTGTTTAAAACCTCCCTAAAGGTTGTAGAGACTAAAAAGAAACAAACAACAAAAAATGCCCAACCAGAGATGCAATCTATACACATTCTTTGACTTTGTTATAGTTAGTGAATCATACCCATTTCCAACATAAAGAGAAATGATAAAGGAAGGGAAATGGGATCTGTTTGTTCTGTGATTTATTTCAGTTCCTAAACACAGACAGGTAATGTATGAATACAACATAAGATACGTCATCAAACATTCGTATGCATTTATACACATCATTATTGTTTGAATAACACTAATAATTTAGAAGTTTCTCAAACACTTTTCAATGGAAAAAACATTAGAGACAAGGTATATGTTCTAATCAGGTACATGATACATTTTGGTCCGTAAAACACAAAAAAAAGTTAATAGAATTATGCTAACTGAGCCTTTTATCTTATTTTTCTTTGGAAAGTACATTAAATTATTCTTTATTAATCTTTCAATTTAAAGATACTTATAATAACATTTATACAGTATTTCAAAATATTTAGCAAATATACAGAGAGGAAAAAATAAGATTCTCAGAGCTTAGTAACATTTTTATTTTAAGCACCTAATGGAAACTGAAAATTTTAATGTTTTTTCTTGCTGATATAGTTTTTGTAGTTTCACAAAAATGTAATTCAAATGTATATAATTATCAAGGATGTTTTAAAAAACATACTTTTGGTAAAATTTCATTTATAAATGTGGTATATAATTTAGAAGCAAAAAACAATTAGAAATTATTTCAATAAATATGAATTAAGCCTATTTTCTTTTTTTAAGAAAAAACTTTTCTCACTCAAAAAATTGAAATGTGATCCACATTGTATTTGTTTCCACAACAAGCTTAATTTCAGATGTCTAGTCAAGCTAATGTCAACAAAGCCAATCCCTTCAAAGGACAAAGGTATCTGATTAAGTAAGACCAGTAAAATAAACTGTTCTCCCCAAGAGATAAGCTCTTGTCATAGCCCCTATTTTCAGCCTTTAGAAAATGGTTATATTAAATACAAGGGGTGTTTTGCTGGTAAACCACAGAGATAGCAACACCTGATTACAAATAAAAATTCCTAAGTGAAATAAATAAGTCACACATGTGTAAATACCGAATATTTTCTCTGTTGTGTATAAACTGTAATAGTACATAAAATCCTAATGAGATAACTGACATTGTGAAATGGGAAGAAAAGGGAAAGGTGTAGGTGGACAAAGGTATCTGATTAAGTAAGACCAGTAAAATAAACTGTTCTCCCCAAGAGATAAGCTCTTGTCATAGCCCCTATTTTCAGCCTTTAGAAAATGGTTATATTAAATACAAGGGGTGTTTTGCTGGTAAACCACAGAGATAGCAACACCTGATTACAAATAAAAATTCCTAAGTGAAATAAATAAGTCACACATGTGTAAATACCGAATATTTTCTCTGTTGTGTATAAACTGTAATAGTACATAAAATCCTAATGAGATAACTGACATTGTGAAATGGGAAGAAAAGGGATAAAGGTGTAGGGAAAGTGGGAAGGGTAGGGGAAAGGTAATAAGGGAAAAGAAAAAAAATGTGAGAAAATGAAAAGAAGGAAATAAAGTGTTTGTAAATGGGGAGGGGAGAAGGGGGTGAATGGAGGGCAGGGACAAGGGGAAAAATCAGAACCAAGACCTGTCATGTAAAGGTACAAGATCCCAATAATGAATGTAACTGTACTGTATATCTAAAATGTACCAATAAACTCAATAAAAAACAAATAAAAATTCCACAAGTAGAGAAAAAACGTCAATATTCTGTCAATGTTGGAAGAGTTTCAGTATAAAATACATTTTATTGTCCCATTTCTTCAGCATTATTCTGGTGACTAAAAGGTTTTTTCTACTTTTCACCAAATTTGTGATTCTATCTTGACCAAGTTGTTGGACACAACAGAGACATCCTGCTTCTGAATCAAAACAATTCCAACCTCACTTCTCCACCTTGATATGCAGTAGGGTCAAATGCACGAATATGCACACATATGCATGCACACACATACACACACACACACACACACACACACACACTTACACACTCACTGTTATCAACACTGCTTAAATTTCTGGCCAAAAACACTTCAGTCTGCTGGTACTTACCTTGCAAAGACGTGTTAGGTGATTTTGCTTCATTCTCTCCCATGTTATTATTTCTTTTTAAAGGGAGCCAAGCAGTTTCAGGTTGTGTCAGTTACCCTGCAAGCTTCTTGACCTTCTGACTTTCTACTGTAGTATTGTAACAGTATACTACCTGCTGTCCTCTGTGAATAATTACCATTCTGCTTCCTGAGTTACCTAGCCTTGCAGGACCTGTTTTACTATGAAGTGAGATCACATCTTTTGATCCAATGTACTACTATTAACGCGTGCTTCACAAACATGGCTTTGTTTCAGTTTTGATATTAACTTTTAATTCGGTGCTTTCACTCTAGTCCAGAAATATATTTACATGTTTTCCCCAAAGAAGTGACCATATTACCAAAATATGCTTCAGAGACACAGCTTTATTTCTTCATGTTTTAGTGTTTTCAAGTTTGCTTGTCTTGGAGAGTAAATTAATATTTAAGCAAATTATGCAACTTCCATTTTTTTAATATAAGGAAACGAGGAATAGAATGGGAGTCTGTTTGGGGCAGCTTTATGAAGACAGGCTTTTAAGTATCTGTAATATTTGCCATGTGAATATAAGCAAGGAAAATAACTTACTTGAGAAACAGTCTCTTTATCATTGTATAAAAGAGAATGGTGTTTACTTCAAATTATTGTAAAGATTAAAAACAATGTATGTGACTCCACTAATCATGGTAAAAGAGGAATACAAAAAAGTAACACATTTACTTCTTTCTTTTTCTCTTTTATCTTCTCTTTAAGAGCCTGTTCTTTCTCAGATAACGAGGAAAAAATGAGAAATTGCCAGACTGTCCCTGACTATGCTCTCATGTCAGTTATGCTACAAAATAACTAAGAAATCTTAAGGTAATTATTCAGTCAATCACAGAATGCCTCAAGGCCCTCATCTGTATAAAGAAAATGCTGATATTTGCATTATCTTTTTAATAGGAACATGGTGATTGCTAACATAGATTAACTGTTGTGCCTCAAACAAAAATAATCTGAAGCACAGATGAGTCATCAATTGTAGATCTATCTTTAAATAATCATTTTTAAGTGATAGAAGGAGACCACAAAATAAAGGTTATAACTCCATACTGTGATCTGTTCCATAGTAGAGCATTCCTGTTCGTAGTACTGGTATATACTGCAATATATATATACCATTGTATATATAGTAGGGTAAATATACTGTTGTATATATGTTAGCAAAAGTACCTGAAGCTGTATGATTGCCAATAAAACACTATAATCATCCCATTCCAACCATCCCAAAAGAGAAGCAACATATATATCAATCCTCACTCATTATGACAAACTTGGAAATGCATTTAAATACCTGCCCCAGGCATCTAAAATGATTCAGTAACCATAACAAAGCATCCATTATCAATGAACTGAATTGTGAATTATGGCATATGGGAAGTTATAATGAAATACAATACAGAGTCCCATTATTGAGTTAAAAAAAATTAATAAAAAATTACCGACTCTTGAAACAAGCATTTTTGCAACTGCACAAAAAACATCAATATACTGTCTGTTATCCTGACCCAGTGCCAATGCTTTAGTACAGTGCAAACATACTTTTTACTCTCTTTTGGCCTTGGTACATATGTGGAACACTTTTTCAGAAAATTTTTAAAAGCAGGACAGATTTTGCTTCACTGAATACTATGGAAACTGGCATAATTATAAAAATTATCAAGACAATTTTCTGAATCTTTAAAAGCTCAGAATGAATGAGTCCTCTTTTTCCATTCTTAATCATTTATGTCAAAATTTGTGAATGTACTTTTCTTTTAACTTTCTCAAAATTTTTATTAGCACATGTTTGTAGTATATAATGATTACATTCATTGAGGAAAGTTGGTCCATGAACATAACATATCAATTCTTTTTATATCCTTTTCCTTTCTACCTGGCTCCTTCTTTTGGTTCCTTTCGTATTTGTAAAAGATTTGTCCTGTTTCCTAACATGTATCTTTTATTTTGCTCTTTAAATTATTTTTATTTTGGGTTTATCATAGAAGGGCAAGCATGCAATATTTATGCTTGTGTATCTGATTTATTTCATTTAACTAGGGTGTCAAGGTGTATTCATTCTCCTACAAATAAATAAAATGTACCCTTCTTTATGGCAGAATAGTATTCCATTTTGTGTAAATACCACAAACAACCTGATGGCATAGCAGAAACAACTATTTCACTTATTTTTATTCTCAACATTGTGTTCTTAAAACAAACTCCAAGAACACAGTAAGGAAAAGAGTATAAGAAATACTATCATCTCTCATTAAAGCTGAAATAAACTACACTAGGAAAAGATATAAGTACATTAGTTTAACCTATGTGTGTTAAACTATCAGTGATTATTATGCCATAGTCATGATTTTCAAGGAAGAAATACAGTAACATTTGAAGAAAAGTACAAAGTGAGTCTTCAAAATCCTGGAGTTTGGCATCATGTGTTATAGAACAGGGCACCCTGGTTATATAAAATGTCACATACATTGAAAATCTATACAAACTTTTTATTTGTTTTCACAATGAAAACACAAGACAACAAAAATTACCTTGATTAAAACTGTCAGTTTCAACCACAGAGGTCATGTAAGGAGAGAAAAAGACTGGACAGGTTGGGGTTAAAACATTTAGAAGTGGGCCAGGGATTTAGCTCACTAGTTCTGCTGCCTGCCTCACAAGCTCAAGGTCCCAAGTTCAATCCCGGGCACCAAAAAGAAAAAGAAAAAGAAAAATCGGAAGTGTAATTCTGCAAGACTTATTACAGCAGAAGTCAAAACTATGTGCTCCTCAGAGTCTGTGCCAAATTCTTTAAAAATCCAACAAAATGGAAGAAAATTTCATGCTCAGCTACCAGGGTAGTTTGTTGGGGTTGGAGTTCCACGAATTAGGTCAATACTCTCTTTTCAAGTATATGCTGTGATGGTATCCATTTCTTGCATTTTAGGGTAAACCATGCATAGCTCCTACACAGCCCACTGCCAATTGTTTAAACTACTACAGTGTATTCTACATTTTAAAAGAGCTAAATTACAGTGTTTTAAAATAATTAAAGGAGTTAATATTTTGAGGATCTACTTCTAAGTGAAATAAATAAGGCACACATATGCAAATACTGAATAGTATCTCTGGTGTGAAACACTAAAATAGTACTCAAGATCCTAATGGGACAATTAGCAAATAGGAAGAAAAAGACCAAAGGTGTAGGGACAGTGAGAAGGATAGGGAAGGGGGAATAAGGGAAAAGGAAAAAAATATGAGAAAATGTAAAAATGGAATTCAAGTGTTTGAAGGGGGAGGGGAAGGGAGGGTGAAGGGAGGGTGGGGACAAGGGGAAAAATGAGAACCAAGACCTGGCATGTAAAGGTACAAGATCCCAGTAATGAATGTAACTGTACTATCTACCTAGAATGCACCAATAAATTAAATTTTAAAAAAGGAGTTAATATTTAAATATTCATGTAACACCATACAACAGAATGGTTGGTTTCTCAATAAGTCCCCAACACAAAAGCCCGATTTTGGTCAAATTGAACAAATATGTTCAAATACTGAGAACTAAGATCACATAAAATTTTCTCAATTAAATCAACTTTTTTGTTGTTTAAAATAAATCTATCAATGGTATAAAGATAAAAATGTTAACAAAATAATACTATGAGTTGTATGCTGTTTGGACTGATGCATTTAATTATCTAGTTTTCTAGAATAAATATTCTATATTAAAACTGGATCTTGTGTTGGCTATTTTTAATCAAGAGTTCCTAAATTGGGATTGTCAGTTTTTCACAGATGTTGAATACTGATGGGTCTTACCACAAAATGGCTAGGTAATCTAGGAAAGGGAAGAACAACTATTATATAAAAGAATCCAATATTTTGTCCTTGGCTTTACCCTCATAATCCCAAATACTCAATAAGTCCTTTTATCTCTGTACCTAAATTTCATTAAAATCCATCTCCTTAACTTTCCATTTACATTAGATGAGGTTATCATCACCAAGCTGGCAAAGAGGCTAACTCCCTTAATGAAACACTTTCTTCCCTGCCATACATGTCCACATTTGCCAGAGTGACAGTCCTAAAATACAGAATCTACCATCTCCATGCTCACATATGTTCATTAGTCACGTAGCCCACCCAATAATATCAATGTGCCATCCCCACATATGTTTTTATCCCAGTGGCTCTTCACTGTACATTAACATTTTAGCTCACTTAACTGTCTTGTTAAGGATACTTTGATGTTAAGCATACTTGACACTATAATTTCAAATAGCTGAATATATAATATGTCCATATTCATATTTACTTTTCTGTATACACGAATATAACACAGTTAATTAAAAAATTAAGGCCTATAAAGTACCCTGTTTCAGGATTCACTGGTGGACAAAAGTATCTTTTGGATATTACAAACTAAATTTGTAATTTTCTATCACCTTTTTCATTAAGTTGCATGCAGTTTCTTGAGAAAATTAATATTGATTAAAGTACAAAGGAAGTTACTCTTTGGGTATTAAGGGTATCCATTAACAAGGAAAAAGATAAGTCACAATTAGTGGCAGGTAAATTATCTTTTTTTGTTTGTTTTTGAGTCAGGTCTCACTATGTAGTTCAGGCCGTCCTTGAACTCACTATGTGGCCCAGGCTGGCCTCAAACTCATGGCGATCCTCCTGCCTCAGCCTCCCAAGGGCTGGGTTTTCAGGCATGAGTCACCACATCTGGTTTGTTGTCATTTTAATGATCTTTCTGCTGAAGTTTTATTAAACAAGTCATGGTGGTATACAAATGAAATTCTAACTTACACACATACCACACAGCCACACATACACATGAATACACACACACAGTTGTTTACTAATTACTGATGGTTTGTGGGTAGGATCACATAATTAGGAAATAAGGTGACTCATCTAACAATATACATGTAGTGCTGTTATTATAGATTATGTTATATTATATTATCACAATATACATATAGCTGGTATTATAGACAGCTAAGTTAGAAATGTGACCAGCAGTCAGACAGGGCTAGGACCTTCAGGGGTCAGTGCAGAAGATGAGAAAATGTAAGATGAATATGGAAATGACCAGGCCTAAATGCCTCCCTGAGGGATAAGCAACAACTTGAGATTGTACTACAGTCAGTATCACCTGGTTCAGTAAACTCTAGATAGACACCAGTCACCCA